GCAGGACCGCTCTCACACGCCCTTCGCAGGCCATTTACTGCAAGTCCTCCATACCCGTGCCTCACAGGACGACCTCGAGATATGGCTGGACCTGAAGATGGAGATCTCAGAAGCAAGGGAAGGATAGGCAGGCTTAAAGACTTCCGAAAGAAAATCTGGTCACCCTAATTTGAGAACCCCCCCCACCCGCCAACTGATATCAAATGTCCCAGACGCATTTTTTCTAACAAGTGAATGTAGCGGAAGCAGCTCAGAGCTTGTCATGCCGCCTCCGTATTCACTGTCGTTACAAACACTTCGCTCATAAAGTTAAAGCCCCTAGAGATAGATGGTATTTTCCCTTTTCGAACCAAAAATGCAAGCAGCTCGAGTCACGTCTTCAGGCATAATCCCGTATAATGTCTCTAGAACCCCAAATTGACCCCTAAAAGGTGCCTATAATCTGAAGAAGCTCCCCAACTGCATGGTCCTCAAGATCAGCAACTATACCGTGTTTGATGCTATCTATAGAAAAACCTAAACCCTAAACCGCGCGTGTTCCCGACCTGGCCAAAATACCTGACCACTACATGACACCAGTTTTCATTTCATGTGCCTGCTTCCCAATAGTAGGGATACCTTTTTGAGTGCCCCAATAATAAAGGATTATAGTATTTTGGGATCTATATTGGGTCCCCCTATTTTGGGACTACCATTTTGCATGTTCTTGCCATTTGGTTCTCCATATTTTGGGAAACTACTGTTTTGCATGTTCTTTCCATTTGGTTCCCCATTATTGGGGGTAATAATTCTCTGAACCCTACATAACCCGCACATGTCCCTGTACGCCCAACTCCCTCAAACCCAGAATCCTAAATCCGTTTGATGCTCCATTACTGTATAGTTCTGGCGTTCCATACCCAGGTTAAAGCCCTAAGCATCAGCTTCCATTTGATTTTCCACTTGGCTTTCCATGTGATTCTCCGTCATTGTCTTCCGGCATACCCCTACATATCCCTGTGTCCCCCTCAACATTCCCACATCCCCCATACACACATCTACATAAGTATGTGTATTTATATATCTTTAAATGGGTTTCCCTAGCTTGTTCATTTAAATACTACCCGACCAAGCACCGGGCTAACGCTGCGAACTTGCACCTGGCCACCTGTGTTTACGAATTTTGTGCGTTTACTGGGTTGCTGTTAAGGAACTGAATGCAAGCTACCATAATGTGTATATAGATATATAGCAATTAATATGGTTTCTCCAATAAGGGTAACTTAAGCCTTACCAGCAGCCCACTGTAGGAGGCTTACGGAAGCTTTGGGGAGTTTTGGTATTGGGGGGTTAGGGCTTCTGGAGGGAGGACTTTTGGAATGGTTCGGAGCTTAGGGCTTGAGAAAAGTTGGGTTGCAAGGGTGGTTGGTTTTTAGGGCTCAGGGCTCTCTTCGCGCCCTCCTCCCCTCTGCTTCTAACTAGATGGTTGCTGAAAGATCCTGCGAAGGAAACACAAAGGCCGTCTAACCCTCACCCCCAAACTCTAACCCCCACACCCCGAACCCTCATCAACAAAATACTTGCTGCGGGTCTGGTGGTTGCAAGGAAGAACTCAGGGGATTCGATGGCAATTTCTTCTCGTCTCTTCTCTAACTATATCCTAAGCTTAAAACCTAAAGCCGAAAGAAATGTCGTAGCTTCCATTCTTCCAATCCCTACCAATCACCAGTTAACAATAGACCTTACACCCACGCGAACCTTAGTGTTTTCCATTTCCCTAAACCCTAAGCCCTAAATGGTAGTTTCCCAAATTAAGGGACCCCAATATACACCCCAATATACTATAATCCTTATTATGGGGACCCCTAAAATGGTACCCCTAAATTTGGGAAGCCCCCAAATGCCGGCCAGCCTGGTCTGCCCGCCATGCGCGCCGCAAGCCTGGAGGAGCTCCAGGGAAGCGCTGCGATGCCACTCTGGTACTTGGCTCGCTGTACGGCCTGACTTGCTGGTGGCTAGATGTGGGGTTTTGGGTTTTGGGGATTTAAAGTTTCTTTTTTAAGCGTCCCTTTTCCACCTGCAGACGGAAAGGTCCACATAGGGCCGGGCGTATCACAGACATCAAACTGCAGTGTCCAAAAAGGCCTGCTGTGCCCTGGTTTTAAAGTTTAGGATTTAGGGTTTTGGGTTTTGGGGTTCGTGGTCCACTGCTTAGGATGGTTTAGGCTTTACGGTTTTCGTGGTTTCGCTTTTACGGTTTCGGGTCTGGTAAGCACACCGCTTATCCCTTCTGCTGTCAATCTGGGACTGCTCTCGGCAAGGCTGCAATCCCTCCTCGCAGAAGGACTCTGTCTGGCCATTTGCAAGCCATCAGGGTCCCCCAGGTTTGAGTATCAGGGCCGACTTTCTGCTGTTCAGTCGGGATCGGAAATCGACGAAAAAATCGAAACTATACGCATCACAAATTGTTTATGTGTTGGCGGCCTGTTATCCCACCCACACACAAGCAAATGGACACTTCTTTCGAATAGGGGCAAGACTAGTGGGCAAGCGTGCTTTGGCCACCCTCAAAGTGGTGCCCGTCCACCACCAAGTTGTGCTTGCCCAGACGTCAGGGTTCAGGACTTGGGGCTTAGTGGTGCATATGTGAATGGAGAATTTGATACCTGCAAAGTAGTCCCGATACAATCCGGCACAATGGTCTCCATGTCCAACTCCTTCATTCCCTACCCCGAGATAGCCCAATATAATCCCTCATATAAGCCTACAATCCCCCATATACCCCTATATAACCCTATATAGCCCCTGTATGCACCTAGGGGGAGTCTGAAGGCCCTGCGTGCAGTGCTTAGATGGGGAAATACCGCGGCAGGCGGAAAGTTCGTGGCACCGCAACTGCTATAGACATGCTAACCTCAAATAGTCTCCATTTTCTTTTCCACTATCCGTATATGACGCCAATATATACCCTATCAGAACGTCTCAGCTTCCATGTTCTTATCCATCATCCTTATAGTATATACCCATATTCCCCTTAGACTCCTGCATCAGCAGAAGCCCTCAAGTCCTCCTTCTCCTGCTACAGCTTTCCGGCTTGTCTTACCGTGCCTCCTCCTTATTCGCGGCGGCGCGAAAATCTGCAACATTATGCTAAACTGTCTTCTGCCATGTTCACTTTTCTCCTCATGTTTTGTGAGATACATGTTTTCAGACCGCCTGAAATTTCAATCCCCAACTCCCCTGTAGACAACACTACGTTGTAAGGCATATGCCCTGTTGCACCCAAACCCCATGTCTACATACATCACCTCGTTCAAAGTTTTTTTGCCTCTAAATGTTGCTACGTCACAGCGGAGGACCTGGAGTACTGCAGTGCTCACTTCCTGCCTAGCGGAGAAATTATCATGCGTCCATCACAACCTAAATCGCAAAATAGCATGGAATGGCACTGCATTGAGATGTTGTTCCTTCCCGTTAGGTGGGGATTCACTATTAGTAGGGGGATTACCCATTGCAAGACCAGTCCAGACAACCCAGACTCTCTGTGAAAAAAAAGTACGCTGCATGCACAAAAAAATGTACATATACATATGTGTATATATATATATATCTATTTATTTAATCACATATATATATATATATACGTTCTAGACATGTGTATACAGTGGACATATAGACATCATTGAAATCCACGTGTTCTCTGAAGCCTTCGCTGCATCCATGGCAGCGCGCGAAGCCAACGCCAATGCATCTGCTTGCGCTAGCAGACCTCGCGTTTGGCCGAAGGATGGAGGCAGAATTATGCTAACATAGACTACAGTATGATCATCCCACTTAACTTATAACCCGCTTGGATTTTCCGTTTGGACCATTCCGACCCTAGTCACAGGCACCTGCTTGAAGGTGGTTCCAAGTCAGCTCAGGTTCATGAGTATCCTAACATGCGTCGCAAGTGCTATTTGCCCTACTTAAACCTCACTTCGCAAGTATGCCCCCAAGCTCGCAAACCTTCAGAGGCAGATATCTTTGTGTTGGGAAGCAAGGCATCCATAACTCTCCGCTCGTTTCAGTCCTGACCAAATAAGTGCTCCAATGCTGAACCTCCAGTACTCCATGTAGTGATGGCCCCATCCCTCCGCGAGAAAGTGATGCAACAACCTCCAGACAAAACCGCAATTCCTCATGGCATCCCAGATTCTGAATCCTGCATGAGCTGAGGAAACTGCGGGAGTTGCTCTCATTCCTCGGCAAGTCAACACCTCTGCGCGATTCGCCCATCTTGTCCTGCAAGGACGTGGCGGATTCTTGACATTTGCATGACACACAGCGCTGAGCAAGCACGTTGTTGCATGCAGGTGTTTGTCAAATGTTGAATGCACTTGGGGTATCCCAAGACTTGGGGATACTTGGGGTCTGTATCTCACAAGGCATCCAAACAGCCACCATCATCTGAAGAGCAACGTCATGCGCCTTTTCACAAAGCTCTCAGCTTGGACTGTCCGAGTGACGCCGAAGCTGCCTAATCGTCTCAGGATTCCAGCCAAGGAAGATCAAAACAACACAGTACAGACTCTCTCTCACTCTGGAGCAACCCAATGGGCCCCTGGCAGCAGAACCACGGAAAAAACGCAAGCCTCTGATCTAAGCTAAGCTATTGCTGCTTAGAACCAATGTCCCAAGCAGCACGGGCCCTGGGAATGCCTCCCACTCCCGGTGGCTGAAGTCAGCAGATGCATCGCATTCAAAATCATTTCAACAGGTCCATCAACTCAGTGGAAGCCTTATTGCATCTCGAAAATGCCAATGCATCCGCCAGCTCTGCTAGCAAGCAATACGCAAGTGATGGTTAGACTTGATGCGAGTAAAGGCTTATTTGCATGAGTTGCAATGGTAACATGAAAGGACCCCTAGTGCAACCTAACTCACCCTACTCTGCTCTTACATGCTTTGCCCTCACTGCGCAGCGCAAAGAAGACCGTTAACATCGTCGATTGCGCCGACCATTCACCGCCATGACTGCCCTAAGCCACGCAGGCCTCAGGCTTGACACCTGGGGTGCAGGCCTCCTTGGTAGGCAAGGCCGGTTTGGTGATTGAAAGGGTGTCAGTGCTGTGCGTCTTCTGGATACACTCAGTCAAAGCAGCGGTTTGGTCACCGGACTTGGTGAGCACATCAAGGAGGCACTCAACGCGCTTCAGCGCGTTCCACTGCGTCTTGAGGTTTTCGGAGATGCTGACAGCCGTGTCGTAGGCGCTAGTTGCTGCAGCCTCTGAGGCCGCCCAGCAGCTGTCATAGACATTGCAGGCCGTCACCTTGCCTTGGTAGGGCGTGCAGAAGGCCTCTGTAGCGTTTGACTTCAAGGTCTCACAATGAAGCGTCTTGATAGACACAGGTGATGTCTTGGTGTTGCACTCGCTCTGCTTGGCACTATAGCTTGAGCTTGCATCCGTGCAGTTCTGCTTCCGCGTCCTGTACTCGGCCAACATGTTGATGTTGCGCTGCAAGTAGGCCTCATAGGTGGAGCTCACTGGGAAGTCGTCCTCGTAGCAAAACCAGGACTGGTAGTTGTTGGAGCGATCCACAGCTGAGAAGTACTCGCAGCGGGCCTGCTTGGCCACGCGTAGCAGCTCCTCTTGGCTGGTGCAGCTCTGGGCCGTCGTGTTGAGGTTTGCGAGCTCCTGAATGCATTGGTTGTACTCCGCGTAGTGGCCATCAGCAGGCGCAGCCGCCTCAAGCTTAGCCACCTCGCCCATTGCTGCAGCCTTGTTGGCATTGCATGTCTCAAACAAGGTCTTGTTCGTGACGCCAAGCTGTGCGGCGGAGGCTTCTTGGGAAAGGCTCTCCAGCATGCCGGTGACAAGGCCCTTGATGGTGTTCACAGTCTCTGGGACGCCACCTGTCTTGGAGATGGACTGTGCCATGCTGGCAAGGGAAGAGATGTCGAATTCGGGAGAATCGCCCCTTCCATTGGCTGCAGCCGCAACCAGCGACAAAAGGGCCTGCTGGGGTGCGGTGATATCACTGGCCAGAGATGCACGGAGGTGGCCTGCAGACTTGGCAGCGGCCGCAACGCCGAGCGCGGACACGAGGAAGCGCATGGCGAACTTCATTTTCGACTGGTGCCGATGGCAAGCCGCACTACGGCACGTAGTTTGGAGCCTGAGGCCTGCAGCGAAACTGGAGGTGCAGAATCCAAGGTCTCAATGCCGGGGCTTCTTGCATACGCTTGGAGGTCACATGAAAGAGAACCACTGCCTCCGATACGTGACAAGAAGAGGAAAACAAGGGGAGTTTCTGAGAATGGGCATGGGGAGAGAACTTCCATCGGCTTCTAACACTGGTAGATCTCAAGAGCTGGCCTATTTGGCCCAGCTGTGAGAGGGGGGCAAAGTGCAGCCTAGTGCTAAATCCGGGTTCGCGATGGTCCTCGTTTGCCAGGTTTTCCGCTGTCGCCGGTTCCTTTGCTTGGTTGGGACTTCAAGCCAGAAATCTCCATCCACCTTCAACATGTCAGTAACCTCCCAAGGCATTTCAAGGCGGTAAAAACAACGCAACTTGACAACACGCTGCGGCAACCATCAGATTGCAGCGCCTGTGGCTCTTGAAGTCAGGTCAGGAAGATCCCTGACAAGCCCCAAAGACTTCATCCAACACGTGCCATAAGAGTCAAGAAGCAGCAGGCTTCGACTGGTTCTGCTCCAGCGTGTCCACCAAACGACCCCGCAGTTCGGACACCAACTCCCACGCAACCTTCAGTTCGGCTTTTGGCGCTGAATTCGCAAGATGCAAGTGCCCTGAGAAATCCCACGAGTTTCTGCGAGCATTGATTGGGTATAAAGCGCATGTAAAGGAGTGCGGGCACCCCCCTGCAGGGTCACCTAGAGGTGTTCAGCGATACTTAGAAACTGCCATCACCCCTACTGGCCAACTGGAATCTTTGCCTGAGCACTTTGCACCCTAAACCCTCAACCTCATTGATTGATTGATTGATTGATTGATTGATTGCCTTTGGGTCACGCGGACTCTTGCTTTGCAAGGCATCGACGGCTGCACCAACAGTTGCAGAGCAGCACGGATAACATGTACAAGCACACAGCTACAAAGCAGCCCGGATAAGATGCACAAAGACGCACAGCTGCACATCGGGGCACCCCCAGCACTGCACCTACATCTACACATCGAAGAACTGAACATCTGCATACGCGCATACCCTCAACCTCAACCAATAACCAGTCGCTGCGGAAAGCTGTGGAGTCAGATATGAATAGGAGGAATGGTTTTGATGCCAGCTTCCGTTCAAGTCCCTGAGTTCTGACTGTCTACTCACGAGTCACCATCAGCCAACAATCAACTTCTGACAAACTTGGTCTCCCAATAGGAAGCCACTGACCTACAGTCGATACAAAATCTTGTCTGATTCTTGCACCAAGGTCTCAAGTACTTAAGGTTATCTGGCATCTTTAGCGTCAACTATACTATACTATACTATACTAATCTATACTATACTATACTATACTATACTATAGTACACTATAGTTTTCTATATCTACTATATAATAGTATACTGTAGTGTACTTGTATATACTATATTCAGTATCTGGTTGGTGTCTGGCACCTCCAGCTGGTGTTCCATGGCCGCTTTCTGCTGGCAGGACCTCACTCAGCAGCTCCAGAGCCATCACACACCCCTCAAAGGCAACTGAGTGATTAATAGGCATCAAACCAGAATTGACACCAATTTGGACACCATAGTCTAGTAGACTTTCGTACACTATAGTCTACTAAACTTCACTAAAGTACAATATACTATAGCCTTCTAGGCAAGAGGTCTGGATTCCTGGACAACAGGAAATGTTTCTCGGATACTTCCAGGCCTGCCACTCTAGTAGCAGACCAGTGGGATCGTGTTGTAAGTACATGTAAGCCCTGGATTAAACTTGTAATATATCCCTTAATAGGTGCCCCCCCAAACCCTATATAGTCCCCTATAGATCCCCACCAACCTAAATTTAGTCCGTAGCTCATGTGCTTCCCGAGGTTCTCATGGGACAGGCGGCTACCTTCTGCCTCACCATTCGAACCCCTTTCGCTCTGCCCACAGCACAGCACCCTAAACCCTAAGGCCCTAAACCACTGAACTGCAGACCAGTGGCACATCAAGCTGCCTGGACATGAGAAAGCACAGGAGGGCACCCCATGCGCAATGAAACGATTACTTTGCCCGGAGCAAGTGCTAGAGAGCTTAGGAGGACCCGCGACCCTGTTCTAGCGGTAAAATACGAATATACTAGGACCCTACTATCATCCTTATTATCCCTTATAGCCACTATTACAGGGTGGGGCCCGAACCTTCACCCAAAAACATGTACCCTACGTCCCTGGTTCTCCAGAAAAAATTCTACAATCCAACAACCCAAATGGCAATCCCCTTCCGATTGACGCTTGACCCCTACCATCCTCAAAATACGGTATGGTCCACATCATGACCCGTTTGAGTCCTGCCCTTACTCTGCTTATGCCTGGGCACCTAGATCTGAAGTCCTCTTCCCATGAAAATGAAACAGTCCTAGTCATGCCTATAACTCGTTTATAGCATTAAAACTACGTAACACTCGCCCAGCCCCAGAAAACCCAACCCTGAGCCTCAGAACTCTAAAACTATCTAAGAAAGCCTTTTACCTCCCGGATGACCTCCCAAGAGATCCCCTAAGCCCTGAACCGTCCGATGAGCCTCCCTCTCTTAGGGTTTAGAGTTTAGGGTTTAAACGGTTTAGGGTTTGACCCCACTCTAAACCCTAAACCCTAAACCCTAACTCCACAAGCCTCTGCAGCTCCACCATCTCTGCCTCAGAGCGAGTTTCAGAGTGCCGCGGCGCCACTTCCGGGGTAGCCTCCTCAGGATTGTTTGGAAAGTCTATAGGAATGTATAGGGGTATTTAAATCAGGGTATCAGGGGATTTAATATTACGGTACGTAGAGAGTATACAAGGATAATGGAAACAAAATGGGCACTACTATGTTCGGGCTTCAACATGCGCATATCGCACGGAAAACGTCCCGAAGTCTCGGTCATTGTGACACACAGCTACCCTAAACCTAAACTCCGAACCTTAATCCCTAAACCCTAAACCCTGAACCTGAAACCCGAAATCCTAAACCATAACAGTGGTCACAGTACAACAAGCAAAAGAGCCCAAGGTTTAGGTCTTCGGCTTTGAGACCGGGGCTTTGCCTGGCGAAGTTCGCCCCTGGCTATTAATTTCAATGCCTCCTTAATATGGCATTTCACCTGAAATAAGCCACCATTTAAGGTGAGGCAGGGTGAAGTGTCTATCACTTGCTGAGCCTTTAGGAATCGCAAATTGGGGGGAAGGAGCGCAGGAGGGGGGGGAGGGAGGGGGGAGGGGGGAGGGGAAAGGATGCATTCTATGGGGCACACAGGAACTTGGGATTAACCCACAAAATAACTCTCAGGCCCTAAACCTAAGACCTAAACCCCAAACCGTCCATGAACCTACCAGTAAGCTCCCCCCTAAACCCCAAACCCTAAAACCCTAAAACCCTAAACCCCAAACCCTAAAACCCTAAAACCCTAAACCCTAAACATCAAAGTGACTGGCTCGGTCCGGGAAGGGCTGCCGTCCTTGGGCTTTAGATGAGGTTTAGGGGTTTAGGGTTTAGGGGTTTAGGGTTTTGGGTATACATAGGGGTTATATAAGGATAATGGAAAAGAAAATGGAAGCTACCATATTATGTATAGGGTTATATAGGGTTATATAGGGGTTATATAGGGAATAATGGAAACAGCAGAAAACATAATGGAATCTACTATAGTATTTTGGGGTAATATTGGGATACTGGAAAATCGAGGTGGTTTTATAGGGAATAATGGAAAATATAATGGAAACTGCAGGGATTATAGGGATTATATATGGGTTATATAAGGTTATATAGGGATCATATAGAGCTCTAGATGTTAAGAGCTTGAGGGTTGTTATGGCTTAGGGCTTAGGAGTTCAGCTTTTGGTTCTTCTTCTTCTTGGTGCTTGCGTCTGCCTGGCTGACTTCAGCCAAGGCTTTATAGCTTGGGGTTTCAGCTTCTGGGGTTCGGGTCCGGGTGCTGGGCTTTTGAAAGTGAGATTTTGCTATCATTTGGATACCCTTACGACAAGTTAGGATCTCCATTGTAGAACATGTTGAGAAACCCATGTTTTTCCCTGAGTGCATATAACCTACAAACTGGAAACTAGTAAGATTGGTGCTGTCCCCACTTGGTGGTTGACTCCAGAAATGTTCAGAAAGACTACAAATGACTCTGAAAGACCGGAGCCAGGGGTTGTTTGCTTGCTTCAGAGCCTTCCGAGAAGACAGGGGTCAGGGTCTGCTCGTTTGCTTGGGGAGGACCGCGGCTGTCGTGTGGTGCTTCGAGTTATTCTAGGCACGCCCTGCATGATTTGAAGCTTGTGGATTTTGGCTTTGGGGTTCAAGCTATTATCGAAAGTGTGGGCCTCTTTGGCATACCAACTGAAAATATCACCGCATCTTCTGCTGTGAGCTAGCAAAAGGAGCCCTGATTTCGGACAGCCCCGTGGGGCCTTTCAATATGCAGGAGGCTTGTGTGATGGAGCTGAGCAAGAACCCTTTAGCAGTTTAGGGTTTTAGGGTTTGGGGTTTAGGGGGCATAGCTTGGGATTGTCTGTCAGACTTTTGTTATGATAGTAGCTCGTCGGGCAATTCTTTTCATCTTGTGGTTCACAGTGAATTTCAACCCCCGGAAAGATGAACCAAGTCACAGCATACCATAAACTAAAGAAGAATACCGTCTTACTCACGAATCCAGACTGTAGTATTTGGTAGTTTTGCTAGGGGGGGTCCAATATAGACCTCCAAATACTACAATCCTTAATATGGGGACCCCGAAAAAGATACCCCTAATTTTGGGAAATCCTAATCCCTATAAACCCCTATATACCCCCAGTGTCCATTTGGTTTTCCATCTTCTTTCCATTTGATTCTCCATTACTGGGGTGACTGATATCCCTATACATCTCTATATACCCCTTTAAAGGAACCTAGGGCTTCCACTTCATTGTCCCCTTTAAGACCCTAC